GGGCTCCGGTGGGGCCCCCGCCCCACCCCCGCCAGCCTCCGCCCAGCCGCCCCCCCGCGCCCGCCCCCGCGCGGAGAAAGGCCGGTCCTCGACGGCCGCGGGAAGGTGCCAGCCCGCCCCGGATGGGCATCTTGGAGCCAGGCTGCCGAGACATGCTGACGGGCACCGACCCGATGCCGGCGAGCGACGAGGGCCGGGCGCCAGGCGCCGACTCGCAGAACCGCTACTTCTACCCGGAGCCGGGCGCGCAGGACGCGGCCGACCGTCGTGTGGGCGCCAGCCTGGGGGCGCCCTACGCCGGGGGCGCCCTGGTGCCTGCCCCGCCGGGCCGCTTCCTCGGAGCCTACGCCTACCCGCCCCGACCCCAGGCCACCGGCTTCCCCGGGGCGGGCGAGCCCTTCCCGCCGACACCGGGCGCCGAGGGCTACCAGCCGGGGGACGCCTACACCGCCCCGGACCCGCGCGCCACACTCTACCCGGGGCCGCGCGAGGACTGTGCGCTGCCGGCGGGGCTGGAGGTATCCGGGAAGCTGAGAGTCGCGCTCAACAACCACCTGTTGTGGTCCAAGTTTAATCAGCACCAGACGGAGATGATCATCACCAAGCAGGGACGGTAAGTGAGTGAGGCGCGCGCGCCGGGAGCGCCGAGCTGTGGGAGCCTCCTCGGTCCCGCCGGCCCGGACAGGGACGCGCTTTTCTTTTTCTTTTTCTTTTTTTTCTGTCCAGACTTTGCTAGTGTCTCTGTGTCCCTCACAATTTTGGCTCAGGCTTTGGGAGGAAAGAGGAGTTGAGTTTCGGACAGGAAAGTTCTGGGGGTTGTTTACTCTCAGGACCAACAGGCACAACTCAAAAGGGAGATGCAGGAGAGGGGCGCAGTGAGCCGTCCTCCTGGTTTAGGGGGAGGGTGCCTATGGTTTCACCCAGCATTGGGGTGCGGTCCCTGCCTGGTGGGGGTCGTGGAGGGCGCAGGGGGAGTGTGTGCTGTGGGTCTGACAGAGCAGGGCGCCTCTCAGCCCCTATGTGTGGGGAAACGGAGCGGAGGGCAGAGTCTTACAGTGGGGTGGACAGCAATCCAGCCCTCATCTCCGGGGCCCCTTGTGCCCACCTCTCCCAGCCCCCTTGCTGCTGTTGTGTACAGGTCAACTCTGGGGGAGGGTGTGCGTATGTGGTAAAACTGGGATTTGGTGACATGGAGAAGTGGTCGCCAAGTTTCCTTTCTGGTAGTACTTTGAGATCATATGTCTGGTGTGCGCATGTGTTGGGAGGGGGGTGGTGGTAAAGTGGGAGGGGGCATAGATTCCTTCCAGACACAGCCCCCTCCCCGAGGGCACAGATGTCCATGGGCCTGAGCAGGTGAAGCTAACCCATGGGTCCCAGCTGGCAGCCAGTCCCACACTCTGTACTCTTCAAGGCTTGTCCCTGAAAGCCTGCCCCACCCTTATCCAGATACTCACCAGTCCATCCTGGGGAACCCATGGTTCCATGGTTCAGGGTCCCCTGAGCTCCGTGCATGTGGGGTAGGGTTTGGGGCCAAGGGTGCTGCTTCCGGAGAGAGTCTCCTACAAGGGGAAAGAAAGAGAAACTTGCAACTTGTGTGGTATTTGTTTAGTAATCAACGCTCTGAGTGGGCCCTGCCTGTGTCTGGTGTGTGAGTGTGCACCCACCCTTCCTGGTGGGGGCCCATATGGGCAGGGGACCAGCGAGGGCCTCTGTGTGGAGGGGCTATGTCATCAGTGGACCTGGGAGGTGTTGAAGAGCAGATACCAAGGGTTGGGCTTGGGGAGGGAGAAGGGAGAGGCCATGCTGGGCCTGAGGGTTGGCATTCAATCTGGGCATTGCTGGATGGATGATTTCTATGGGGTGGCTTGGGTTTGAGGGACCTGTCCACCAACCACAGCTGGCTTCAAGTTGCTGAACTGTTCCTCTTTCTCGGGGATGAACCCGAGAAAGCTGGCATTTTCTTTAACGACACGGCCTCCATCTTCTAGGCCTTCTGATAATTGCTCTCTGCTCCCCCAGCCCTAGCCCCTGTCTGGGTGCACCCAGGCATAGCCTAGGCTTCTAGGCTATCGTGTCTGAATTGGAGGAGACCCAGAAGATCCTGTCCCATCTTCTCCCTGGACAGAGAGGGAAATGGACCCAGAGACAGTAAGAGACTTTTCTGAGGTTACACAGCACATTCATCGCTGGCAGAACTGGCACCAGCGTGCAGATGTTATGTGCCTGGGTTTCTTTCTCTGGTGCCCCACGACCAGGAGTAAAAACAGCCACCCACACTGTCCGAAGGCCTTGATGCATTCAAAGTGCTTTCACTTCCATTATTTCACTGTGTGCTAGGTAGGCCAAGCGGCTTCCCCATTTACAGCTGAGGGCATTGAGGCCCAGGGGAGCTGGTGGCTTACACTGGGTTAACTCAGGCTCAGGCCTGAGCTCTGTTGAGTGGTCAGGAAGCCTTCCCACCCTGGGGCCTGGTGGGGGTCTCCCCACAGCCTTGCAGCCAGGCCCCAGCCCCTCCAGTCCTGAGGGATGAGGTAGACGGAGCTTCAGCAGAACCTCAGGGCTCTGGGGGTGCAGGGCTAGCTGGGGGTCTTAGGCGAATGCGTCTTTCTGTACTGGTTGCCTCCTTTACGCCTACAGCCTCCTTCTTTCCTTTATTTTCCTGCT